TGAGTTCAATTCTGGTACCAAAAAAAAAAAAAAAAAAAAAAATTCAAAAACTAATAATTACTCTTTTCTTTTAGTTTGTCTGAGCCACCCTCTGAAAAGGACTCCTCATCAGATGACTGGACAAATGTTCAGAGCAGTGAGAATTTAGACAGTTCTGGATCTTCTTCTATGGTATAGTATTAGTCTCTAATATTTTTTTCTTGTATGTTTCCTCATTTGAAAGTGAAGGATTCATATGTTTTCTTTCATACATGGAGATAGGAAGGAGAAAGGAAAAGAAAGGGGGGGTGGATCTCATGAAAATCAAAGGGAGATCAGTAGAAGAAAGAGACAGGGTGCGGGTGGAGGGAATGGTGGGAGAGAGTGCTGGGGAGTGAATCTGACAAAATTATGTGGTTATATTGTGTGCATGTACGAATGTGTAACAAAAAATCCCATCATTCTGTACAAGCATAATGCACCAATAGAAAAATATGGAAAGAGAAAAAAAATGACCTTCACGCCTGGGGTTGTGGCTCAGCGGTAGAGCGCTTGCCTAGCACGTGTGAGGCCCTAGGTTCGATCCTCAGCACCACAYAAAAATAAATAAAAATAAAGGTATTGTGTTCAACTACAACTAAAAAACAAATATTTAAAAAAATGACCTTCACTATGCCACAAAATTTTTATGTTTTTGTCTCAAGCTCTCATGCTAAATAATACTATTTAGCAGCCTTTTGATTCTTTTTTATTATTATTTTAATATTATTTTATTACTGGGGCCGAGTTGTGGCTCAGTGGTAGAGCACTCACCTAGCATGGGTGAGGCACTGGGTTCAATCCTTAGCACCACATAAAGATAAATAAAGGTATTGTGTCCATCTACAACTAAATATTTTTTTAAAAATATTATTTTATATTGTTTCTCAAAATATTTTATTTTTTTTATTAACCTTCGCTCCTCACATGGAAAATTCTTTCACATTTCACTCCCATTCTTCCTACTCAACTTGTGTTTTTAAACATTCCTGTGATCTTATTTTTTTTCCTCCCATTAATTGGACAATAAATGAAGGCTCATTGGTATAGTTCTACTTCTGTTTAAAAAACTCAGAACTAAACTTAAAAAAATCAGATAATTTTTTACAAAAGCATTCTTTTTATAAGGAAATACAAATCAATAACAAAAACCAAACAACTCAGGAGAAATATGTACAGAGTGTCTGAGTAGATATTTTTGAGGTGAGACACTCAAATGGGCAACAAACGTGAAAAGGTGCTATATTTTATTAGGTTTCAGGAAAATGCAAGTCTAAAAAACCATTAGATGCTATTTATATCCCTGTATGAGTGACAAAATTCAAGTCTTGCAATACTAAGTTGGTCCAAGGCTTAACAAGAGTGTGAACGTGTGTGAAGCTGTTTATCGTATAGACTTAGAAATGTGGTCAAGGAGACACTTAAAGAAACAAGATAAAAGCCAGGTGTGCTGGTGCACACCTGTAATCCTAGCTACTTAGGCTGAAGAAGGAGAATCACTAAGTACAAGGTCAACTTTGTTAACTTAGTGAGACTCTGTCTTAAAATTAAAAAATAAAGGACCCGGGGATGTAGCTCAGTGGTAGAGCACATCTGGGTTCAGTCCCTAGCATGGGGGGAAAACGTAGGGGGAAGCCAACCAAGACGATTTAAGACTTAATCATTTTAAATTATCCTAACTGAAACATCTTAAACTATTTCCCACTTTCTTTTTGTCTTTTGTAGAATGGTCTCAGTAGTAATAAAAAGAAGAAAAAAATGTGAGTATTATTACACATCAAACATATTTTGGACTAAGGTTTTATTTCAGATTTAGTTTGTCAGTCTTATTTATTGTCTTCAGTATTCATAGAGTATTATGCATGTTTATTTGAGTGGAGTTTCAGAAGATGTAAAAGCTTGAAATCTATAAACAATTTTTAATATGTAGGGAAATCTTTGAATATATATGTGTGTGTATGTATGTATATATATATATATATATATATATATATATATAAAATACAGCATAAATACATATACACATGCTGTACTGTAGACATAAAGCCCTATGGTGATTGCTAGATTAATTAGTTAATGGCATTATTTTGGATGAGGCTGTGAAGAATTGGGCTTAGAGAGGTGTTTTCAAGGGAAGTGCATTAGTTTACAGACAGGTAGGGTAAAGATAATGTAATAGCTTGAGTTGTAAAAAAGACCAAATATTATGTAAGTTATAGTTTTCTTTAACTGAAGAGAATAGCAAAGAGGTAAATATAGTCAGAAACGAGAGAGGACAGATGGAGCCMTAATGACCCACCAATATTCTCAACAGTAGATAGACATGTTGAAAAAAKATGATTCCTGATGTGAATGGAGGGAGAGAAATGAGACTGCATTGGGCCTGTGGCCATGGTTATTGAGGCAGGAGAATTTGTAAAGGAAGGGTCGGCCTGACTTGAGGAGATAGCATGTAGTAGCCAGGTGAGAGGGTGCAGAAGAAGGAAAGGAGAAAGCATATGAACATTGCTCGGTTTTGAACAGGCTGCAGATGAGAATCATGCCACTGCTAATGCTAAGGAAGACTGGAGGGCCCAGGGGGATGAAAGCAATTGGGATATGCTTAGTTTCGGGTGACTGGATTTCCAATCACAGAAGGCTTATCACCAGTAAGGAATGATGGCCAGAGAAGGTGCCAGGAGATATACTTCCTGAAGTTTTGAGTCTGGAGAATGAAAAAGAGAGGCAAGTGGCATGCCAACAATAAAAGTGAAAAAGAGAGTCAGGAAAGGGATGAACAATTATTGGAGGGCAGAGAATCATAGTCTTTCGTTTTATAAAGCGAAAGGTTAACACTTGTTACCCTACTTTTCTAATAGTTGATGCAAATTATGCAAACCCTAGTGCAAGACATAAAACCTTCTATAAACAAATTATATTTGAATTTTATTTGAAATTTATATTCTTGTCTTAATTTTAGAAGTTTGGCAGCTAAATTTGACTCTTATAACGTAGAAGAAAACCAGTATACTGTGGACTACAGGTAAGAGGGAACTTTTCAATAGAATTTGTTTAAAGATATATTTGTTCATTCAACAAAAGTTTCTTAAGGGCCGGTCATAAGATTAAGTTATACTCCCACCCAAACAGTTTTATAGTTGTAGCCCAGTCAGACCCACAAAGGATCATTGTCWCTTGGAGAAGTAAGGTTTAGATAAATCTAAATGAAATGTGGTAAATATAGATCTCTGTGATGCTCATGAGTTTTTCTGATATCCATGGATGTTATTGATATTGAAAGCAAATACTCCTGTAAGCCTGTGTGTGATTAAGCAACAAGTATGCCTGTAGGAATCAGAATAGATCCATTTGGCTCTGTTATCTGTTTTCTAGTGTCATATCAGATTTCACTTGAAAAAAGTTGTTCCTCTATTGTAGATGATATGTTTAGGTTTAAATTAAGCATCGAATGCCAGGCATGGTGGCCCATGTCTGTAATCCTAGCAGCTTGGGAGACTGAGGCAGGAGAATCACAAGTTCAAAGCCAGGCTCAGCAACTTAGCAAGGCCCTAAGCAACTCAACGAGACCCTGTCTCTAAATAAAATATAAAAAACAGGCTGGGAATGTGGCTCAGTTAAGTGCCTTTGGTTAAAAAAAATAATAATAAGCATCTGAAATGAAAGAGGTCTGTTTGCAAAAGTAGGGCATTGAATACAAGTTTTAAAAAGCAACGAAGAACCTATACATATTTATTAAGCCCCTGATATATATCTGACACTATACTGGGCATTGGGTTTATTATAGGACCAAATATAACCATTTTCTCCTCTCATGCAGTTTGGAGGGGATGACCAACATTAAATATGTATTTACATAAAAACATCAGTAATTACTAAATGTGGTCGAAGCTCCCAAAGAAATAGCATGGTGAGAAGTGGAAATTTGAAATTAGTATTAAGGGTGAGACAAGACTTCCCTGAGGTCACATTTGTGGGGAGACCTGAGGATGTGTTAGCACAAAGAGATGGTGTAGAAGGAAGAGTGATTGAGAAGGTGAAGGTGGAAAAGGTGATGTGCATGTGAAAAGCAGACAGGCTGTGTGCTGGAAGAGCAGCGAGGAGGGCTGAGTACCACGGGGTAACACCTGAGAAGGAAGTGGGAGGAAGATCCTATGACACCCCCTGGGCCCTTTAAGGGCTTTCCGTTTTTTGCCAAATGCAAAGATAGACTAGTGGAGGTTTAGCAGGAGGGAAACATGATCACATTGAGTTTTCAGCATTCTGGTTGCTGTGTGATCATGGACTGGACTGGGGCAGAAGAGGAAGTGCATGTCCAGTAGGTAAGCTACTGCAGGAAACTTGATGGACGCGTGGCCTGGGATGAAGACACTGGAGGTGGAATATGATTAGAAAGAATTGGCTGGATGGAACGTGGGGTTTGAGGGGGAGGAGAAAAATAGGTTATTATAAATCGAGGCAGGTTCAGAGTATCTGCTCATTTTTCTAATGGAGTAGAAGCTGTGGAGCACAACAGAATGCTTCCTTAAAGTTTTATACTTGTGGAAGGATTCTTTGGCTTATGTACAGTTAGAAGTTGACTGTGACCCCTAGGGGCGAGGGGTTGGATTCTCTATGGAAGGAGGAGGAGCAGAAGGGACCACCCTTTGTGAGCAAAGAGTCTGCAAAACTAGACTTTTAATAACCAGAAGGGGAGAATCATGTTGATGATTCAGCCCCTTTTCACTGTGAAGGGAGGTGGGGGAAGGGAGCAAAAACCAAACCTCAGAATAACAATCGTATTTATCTTTAAGGTTTGCCAAGGATTTTAAAGATATAGAACGAATTGGCAAAGGTGGATTTGGCCAAGTTTTCAAAGCAAAACACAGAATAGATGGAAATATTTATGTTGTTAAACGTGTCGAGTATAATAACAAGTAAGTAGTAAATGTTTTATTTTTTTAAATGAGGTGCTTGTTGAACCTGCACTGTTTTTTTTTTTTTTTTCATGTTTCTCTTTTTTTGTTAGCATATCATTTACTTCTTTCTGGTCCTCCTTAAACATTTTATTCTACCTAGAGCTTGGCTTAATCTGAAATCATCTCATTTTACTGTGGTTATTTTAGTTAAAAGGGGGGTTATCCACTGATCATTCTTTTCAGGCAGTCTTGAAAACTGATGCTATAGAATCATTTGGTTTAAGGTGATCTTTGAGGTTTTCTAGTCTCATTTCCTTACTTTATAGATGAGGAATCTAAAGTCCAAAGATGTGAACTAATTTATCTGAGGTTAAAGCTTGTTGATACTTATTCTGGTTATCTATTATTGCATAGTATACTGCTCCAAAATGCAAAACAGTAAAAAAAAAAATTACTGTTTCCTGTCATGGTACTGTGTGTTGATAGTTCTCAGCGGGGCAATGTCTGTCAGACTCTCCCAACATTCTCAATTGGGAGTTATTTGAAAGCTTGATCAGGCTGGATGGCTGAGATGGACAGCAGGTGAGGCTAACTGTGGGCTGGATATTCAGCTGGGACTGTCAGTCATGGCACCTTCACATAGCTTCCTTGAGTGACCTGGGTTTTTCACAACTGAGAGGCGGGGTTTCAAGAAGAATTGTTGCAGAAGGAGTTGTCCAAGTGATCAGGAGGAGGTGGTAAGCCTTCTTTTGAATTAGTCTTAAAAGTTCCAGAGTATCATTTCCACCACAATATATTGGTTAAACAAGTCACCAACAGCAGCTCAGCTTCCAGAGAGCATAAATAGACTACCTCTTAATTCCAGGTATGTGTATGGGAAGGGAAGGAATTGGGATAATCATTGGACAATATCTACTGTGTCATGAGTTAGAGATTTAGAACTCATCTTCTGGAATGAACCATTGCTTCCTGTGTTTGTTTATATGTATAATCTGCCCCCTCCCTCACTAAATAGTTCAGGAAGGAAAACACATGGGAAAGGGCTTTTGTTGTTGTTATTTTATTTTTTTGTGGTGCTGGGGATTGAACTCAGGGCTTTGCACATGGTAGGCAAACATCCATCAACTGAGCTATACTCACAATCCAAAAGAGGTCTTAAATCCCATGTTGTCCAGTTCACCAGTCTTGGTAGTTTTTCTCTGGCTGTTGTGACTTTGAGTAATTTGGCCCCACTGATCTCTCAAGGACAGGGAAAGGAGGTGGAAAAAAGTTCTGGGCTAAGGAAAATGACATGAGCATAGGAGAAACAGACATGGAATCCTAGATGCTTTTCACCCCAAACAAACCTACTTCCTCTCTCTCAGACCTACTCAGTATCAAAACAAGGTTTTTCCCTTCCTGTCTTACTACAGGAAGTAGTATTTTTCTTCTGTTAGATAACTATTTTTAAAAATGGTGATAATGTTGATAAGGATTGAAAATCTTAGGTATTTCCAGTGCTTTATGAATTTTCAACATGTTCAAAACATACTTGGAAATATTAATCTAGAGCCATGAAAATGTTTACGTGCTTTGACCCAACAATTTCCTTTTTGCAACTTCTTCTGACAGTATTATCCAAATTGTGGCTATATGCAAGGAGATATCAGTCACAGTCTATTAACAGTGGAAAATTAGAACAAAGAAAAATATGCAGCAATAAAGAAATGGTTAGGGGCTGGGGCTATAGCTCAGTGGCAGAGCGCTTGCCTAGCAGGCGTGAGGCACTGGGTTGGATCCTCAGCACCACATAAAAATAAACAAGTAAAATAAAGGCATTCTGTCCATCTACAACTATAAAAAATATTTTTWAAAAAGAAATGGTTAAATAGGTTTTGTTTTCTCCCCTAAGCAATAGCTGTTTTGCAGCCATTGAAAATGAGGGACATAGACTGCAGTATTTACTCATGAAATAATATGATGCTGGAAATAGCTTCACAATAATCCAGGGGAGGAGGAGGAAGTGGGTGAGAGAACAAACAAAATGAGATCAGCCAGGAGTTGACAACTGTTTCACTTGGGTGATGACTTGGCAGGTGTTTGTTATACTATTTGCTCTATTTTTTGTGTGTTTCTAAAATTTTATATCAAAAACTTTATATTTGAAGCCAGGTGCCATTGTACATACCTGTAATTCCAGTTACTAGGAAACTGAGACAGGAGGATCACAAGTTTTATACCGGCCTGGGCAACTCTGAGATCCTGCTTCAAAATAAAAAGTAAAAAGGGCTGAGGATATAAGTTAGTGGCAAAGCACCCCTGAGTTTAATCCTTAGTACTGAGGGAAAAAAAGCAACTTTATAAATTGATGCTTATTCAAGTTTTTTTAAAAAGTATTTATTTATTTTTTAATTGTAGTTGGACTCAATACCTTTATTTATTTATTTTTATGTGGTGGTGAGGATSGAACCCAGGGCCTCGCACGTGCTAGGCAAGCGCTCTACCACTGAGCCACAACCCCAGCCCTATACAAATTTTGTTACAAGGAAAACTATAAAGATAGCATGTCACATGAAAAACATATAAAATTATATAGTATAATTACAAATATAAAGCATGTATATGAAAAGACACTATCAGAAATAATCTTAAATAATAACTGATTTGGGGGAGATTATTGAAGCATCAGTAATTTTTTCTTTAGTTTTACAAATTTTATGTCACATAGAACTTCTTAAAAATAAAATTGTAAAATGCTTATGTATCTTTGGAAACTCAATTCTTTTCACTCTATTTAGCATGGATATGTCAGAGCTTTTGCTAAAACCCATWTAAAGCTCCTGTAGTATGTAGTGAAGTTTCTGCTTCTCTGCATAAATTACCACTTTGGTATGTTTTTGTCACACTTTGAAAATTCTGAATAAGGGGCTGGGGTTGTGGCTCAGCAGAAGAGGGCTCACCYAGCATGTGCGAGACGCTGGGTTCAATCCTCAGCACTGCATAAAAATAAATAAATAGAATAAAGACATTGTGTCCAACTCTAACTAAAAAAATATTTTTAAAAAATGAAAAAGAAAATTCTGAATGAGGTTTTGCGTGTTGCTTGGGTTACCTGCCCTTATTGTCCAAATGGAGTTTGCTTGTGAAATCCCAAGATTTTGTCCAAACAAAACATGGTATATGATTTAATTATCATGTTGTGTCACTGGCATTTCAAAAACTAACTGCAAATGACTTTTAAATTGAAGCACTTAACTCACTGCATTTTCTTTTACGTTGAGAGTGAGAAATACTGTTTTTTTTTCCCCCTATATATTCAATTTTTCTTCCTGGATCCCATTCTAAAACTTGATGTAGGAACCACAATGACTGTTTATTAACTGTGTGGACAGTTGTTTTCTGCTATTTGAATGTTTTGTATTTATCAGGGATGTATATTGACACATTTGTGTTCCTGTTCCTTTTAACAGGAAGGTAGAGCGTGAAGTACAAGCACTGGCCACATTTAAACATCCCAACATTGTTCATTACTGCAGTTGTTGGGAAGGAGTCGATTTTTATGAGGATCCTGAAAGCAGCGCAAGGTAGGTAAAAAGAAGTTCTCATAGCTGTAACAAGGTGGAAGGAAACCGTCATTTCCTTTCATGGATGGAAAGAGACCATCAATCATCACAATTAATAATCACAACCAGTTCTGACAGATGCTGTTGTGCTCCTCCTAGCCTTGCTCCAAGTTGCTTTTAAAAGCCTTCTGTTAAGTCTGGTAGAGTAGAAGAAGAACGGGAGAGGGGAGGGAGGAAGAGAAGGAAAAGGGGGAAGGAAGAGGAAGGATCATGAACTAAAATCAATTTCCATGAGCCCTACTAGTATGTATAACTATAAAGCTCTAATAATAATAAAACATTTTTTTAAAATAAAAACCTTCTTTTAGCTGGGTGTGGTGAGGCATTCCTGTAATCCCGGTAACTCAGGAGACTGAGGCAGGAAGACTGCAAATTTAAGGCTACCCTTAGCAACTTAGCAAGACCCTGTTTCAAAATAGAAAATAAAAAAGGCTGGGGATGTAACTCAGTGGTAAAGAGCCTATGATTTCAATCCCCCCTACTACAGTTAATTAATTAATACCTTCTTTTATGTCCTCAGCTGTTTTCAAAATTTCAGATTTAGCTTTCTTAACTCCACTGTTTAATATATAGCTCTGCCCCCACCTTAGGACTCAGCAAGGTCCTAAGAAACTTAGTGAGACCCTGTTTCAAAATAAAAAATAAAAAGGGCTGGAGTTGTGGCTCAGTGGTTAAGCATCTCTGGGTTCAATGGCCAGTACCAAAGAATAAAAATAAAATAAATAAAATAAATCAGTCCTCTAACTTTTATCTCATAGTAAGCAATTTATTGCCACTTATCCTAGAGTTTCTGTCCTATATAGTTGTGTTAGGTTTGTTTTTCCTCAGCCTCTCTCCTATTAGGCTACAGTTCCTATAATGATAAGGATAGTGCCTATTCATTTTCTCATTTCTAGGTGCCTGTTTTGTGCCTTTCACAAAGTAGATGCTCAATTGATTGATGTGAATTAACATGTTTCAAAATTATATAATAATGGAATCTGGTTTTCTACCATTAATGGTCTTGTTCCTGTCTATTAGCAAAAATGATCAAGGGTCTTTAGCTTTAAATAATGAGCTGGCTTATATTTTGTAAATGAGCAAAACAAAAATCTAGATACTTGGAAACCTATGATTTAAATAGAAAATGGCTCATGATATTTTGATTTAAATTTATTATATTTAGATTTCTGTTTTGAGGTATGTTTGGGTGTACATAGAAGCTATAATTTAAAATATTTTTAGAAATTTATTTTTATTGCTTTTAACATTCTGTGAATTTTATATCCAGAATAAAGACCAAGTGCCTTTTTATCCAAATGGAATTGTGTGATAAAGGGACATTGAAAGAATGGATTGAAAATAGAAGACAAAAAGTACCAGACAAAGCTTTGGCTTTGGAATTATTTGAACAGATAGCAGAAGGAGTGCATTATATACATTCAAAAGGTTTAATTCATAGAGACCTCAAAGTAAGTGGGAAATGTACTTCATAAGTCAGTGACTGTAACTTAGTAATTGAAAATTTTATCTTCTCTGGTTTTAGAATTATGATTGATCAATAGCCATGGCAAAATACTATCTCTGATCCTTTGAAGTTAGAAGGGATCTAGAGCATGCCTCAGTTACCATTCTGTGCAGATACTCAGAAGATCTCCAGGGCTGGTGAACTGGGAACAGTCTATCAGCCAAATAAGACTGCTCATTCACATCCAGTCCTATTTGGCTGATAGTCAGACCCCAGTTGAAAGACTAACTTTCCTAAACTGAACATTTCTGTACAAATAATTGTGGCTGCTACTACTCAGGCTTGTTCAAATGTCATGGTTCCCTATTCCCTTAGTCCTTACCCCGAGGAGAGTGGGTAAGGGTTGTGGGGTCCAGAGTCTAGTATTTTTTTTTGGTTAGGCCTTGAAGTTTGGCCCAGGATTGGTAAACTGCAGTAATCCAAAACTTGGAACATGTATCATTCCTTAGTATTTTTGTTTTCCTTTGGTTTTTATGGTCTGAACAAACAATGTTCCCATGTTTCTTTCTCATCAAAATGAAAGACAAAGAGGCAGTCTTTTAGTTTCTCCTCCATACTCTTTTCCCCTTCCTCACAAATGATGTAGGCTAAATCCTACCTCTGAGTCTTTGCTCATGTTCTTGTCTCACAGACACTCTTCTGCCTGTTTCCTTTAGTCCCAACTCCTTTACTCAGCCTTCCCTGATCACTGTGCCAGAAGTCCCTCATCCATGTGGATCTTGGCTGTCTGCTTACTCTACCTGTCTAATGCAGCCAGGAAAAGGAAAGGAGCAAAGCAGTTTCTGAGGAAAATAAGTGCCCCATGTGTAGAGTTGTTAGCTTGACCTAGCTAGGATTCAGTGGTCCTCATAGAATACTGCTTGGGTCTTCCCTGGGGCTGGATGTCTGATACTTTGACGTGTGAGCCCACCTGGTTCTAATAGTTAACGTTAASGATATCTAAGAGTGATTTCAGAAGTTAGAACATTAGATGGACCATGTTCAAAAGAAGAAATTGACTGTATTGGTTTGGGATCAGTCATACAGTGAAGTAAGCAGTTAAGCAATTGTTTATCTGTTAATTGAATTCTAATCTGATTGCTAATTTCTGCCCAGGGCCTGTCAGGCTGGCTTTTCAGAAGCTCCTTGTATCCTTCCCTAGTCTTTTCCTTCTCAGTTCTTTTACTAGGCTCTCTCATAAATATTACTCCGCAAGGTATGTGTGTGTAGAGCCCAACATTGTGTTTAAAGTCTAGCCTTTGCAGGAATAGAAATATTAATTTCCACATCAACAACCTTCCTGTTTTCATGGTCTGTGGGATATTGGTCAATACCTTCTACAAAATTGTGTAATGGGGCTGGTCACTCTTCATTCTGTACTTCTTTGTTGTTATTGTTTTTTTAATTGGCTTAAAGGATTACTTAGGAAAAATAATTTGTGCTAGTTGTCAGCTCCCAGGTAGCTTAGAATTCTTTCAACATGAAGGGCATGTGTTTGTAAAAAGTTGATAGAGCCCTGGAAAAGTTGACATAAAGGAAGCTCCTTGGAGAAATTCTGCACAGGACATTCTGGAGCATTAGTAGGAATGGATCCATTTAGAGAATCTCAAAATTGGATGGGGGTCTTAAGGGTGTTGGCTTCAATCCTCATCTGATCCTGAACTCATATTTGTGATATTTCCTCTGGTAGATGTCTAACTCCATCCTGGGATGTGGAACTCTTTCACTCTTTGAGCCACATAATCAGTATATCAGTGTATTAGAATATATTAAAGCAAACCTTCAGGTCATGTCTACCCTGTAGACCAGGATYCATCCCTGGATCCCTTCAGAATGAATCTACTTTTCACTGACAGCTGTTGAGATACTTGGAAGYGCCTATACCCCAAGCTACCTCTGCTGTTGGCTAAAAAGTCTTTCTTTCAACTGGCCTTGTAGAGACTGTGATATTAAATTCTCTGATTTTGACTACCTGGATAAGGGTAAATGCCATAAAAGAAATACAGAAGTAGCCCTTTGCTAAGATAATTTGGACATGTGGTATTACTCTGTCAAATTGGTACATATAAACTAAAAATTGTTTGTTTTTTTCCCATAGCCAAGTAATATATTTTTAGTAGGTGAAAAACAAATAAAGATTGGAGACTTTGGACTTGTAACAACCCTGAAGAATGATGAACTGCGAACAAGAGAAAAGGGAACTGAGCGATATATGAGCCCAGAACAGGTAAGTTCCCTTTCCTCTCTGCTCTTATATATGTTGCTTCTTTAATTTTTTAAAATTATAAAAATATTAGACCCTTCTCRTAAAACTAAAGCATTAGAGAAGTATATAGAATAAGAATTGAAAATTCCCTTTGTATCAGTCAGTTTTTTTTTTCTGCTGTGATAAAAMGACCTGACAAGAACAATTTTAGAGGAGGAAAAGTTTATTTATTCGCTTATGGTTTCAGAGATCTCAGGCATAGATGGCCGACTCTATTGCTCCCTGTGTTGGAGATGAGATGGAACATCAGGGCAGAAGGGTGTGATGGAGTAAAGCAGCTCAGGACATGTGACAATCAGGAAGTAGAGAAATACTCCCCTCAACTGTGGGTTTGGGTTCTGGGACACCTCCTCCCACCCCACAGATTCCAAATCCATGGATGTTAAGCCCTTCTATGAAATGGTACAGTATTTGCATACAGCAAATACTACATATATATCCTCCCATGTATTTTAAATCATCTCTACATTACTGATGATACCCAATGAAAATGCCACATGCAAAGCTATTATATTGTACATTGCTCAAGGAATAATGCTTAAACAATAGGAAAAAGAGTCTTTACGTGTTCAATACAGATGCAGAGTTTTTTCAAGATTAATCTGCAGTTGGTTGAATTGTCAGTTAGAGAAGCCATTGATAGAGGGCCACCTGTATTTCTATGATAATCTGGTAGATTCCTCAAAGTCAAATGACTGAATAGAATGATAAGTGCATTTTACACTGATATATTCTGCCCAGTTGTTGTTAAATAAGAGAGTCTAGTCAGGTGTGGTGGTGTACCCTCCCAGCAACTCTGCAGTCTGAGGCAGGAAAATTGCAAGTTTGAAGACAGCCTCAGCAACTTAGTAAGACCCTGTCTCAAAATAAAAAAGGCTTCTGGGTTCAATCTCTGATACCAAAAAAAAAAAAAAAAAAGAAAGAAAACAGAGAATAAAAGTAGGGTTCTAACAATAATCTTCCAATAAAGATGAGAATGCTGTTTTCTTATACTCTTGATCAAACTGGTGTACTATCAGTCTTCAGTATGACCAGTGTGATGAATGAGGATGCCTTGCTATTTTTATTTGCATTATTTTCTAGATTTTTTAGTAAGCTATGCTATCTTTTTACAAATTTACTTATGTTTTTTTCCCTGTAAATTCTCTATTCATGCTTTTCCCCATTTTTCACAGTTAGGTTGTCTTTTTCTAATGTATGTGTAAGGAATCTACATATTTTGGATATTGATCTTGTATCTGTAACCTATATTAAAGTCTTTTCTCCTTGTTACTTTGTTTATCATGCCTTTTGTGGTACAGAGTTTTTAAGTTATCATATTTATCAGTATTTTCTTTATCATTCCTGGATTTGTCATTTTTATTTTATAGGCCATTTACATCACGAGAGTTTAAAATATTTTGACTTTTTGCTAATAATTTGCTTTAACTTGAATTAATTTTTGTGTATGTGGAAGGAATCTAACTTGATTTAACCCACATGAACATGCAATTTCTCCATCATCATGTAGATGGAGAAATAGTTTATGATTTAAAATACTATAAGGAAAATTCATGGTCATGGAAGGAGGGAGGAATAGGAAGTTAATTACTTAGTAGTTATCATTTCTGTTTGGGAGGATGAAAAGTTCCATAAATAAATGGTGGTGATGGTTATGCAACATTGTAAAGGTGCTTAATGCCACTCATTGTTCACATAAAAATGGTTAAAATAGGTAAATTTTATGTTATGATAGACTTTATCACAATTTAAAAAGTGCTGTTTCATCATATGTAAAATTCCTACACACTTGTGAATCTATTTCTGGACTCTGTTCCATTTTTTTTCTCTTTAACATTATTCTGTTTTAATTATTGAGGCATTATAAAATAGATTTTTGTATTTGAACAATAGGACCTCCCTGCTCGTAATTTTTCAGTTTTAAACCATCCCTAGTGGTTCAGATTTATAATTCCGAGTGAGCTCCAGCAGCAGAGTGTCGTGTTCTATGACTGGTTTCAGGGGTTTTGATAGCTGTTGCATTACATTGAAAGATTTGGTTGAGAACTGTCCTTTTTGTCTCGAGGAGACTGGTACGTCATGGCGCTTGTTCAAGTCCTCCATCAATTGGCTTTTGCCAGGCTATCTACAGTAACAAGTAGACCCTGGATTTCTGATGACACACAAAGCACCTAGAGTTTATTTCTCTCTCATGTGCTAGGCCAGCAACGCTGGCAGTTTTGCTCCCCTGTTTCCTTGAGGCTGAAAGTAGAATCAATYTGGGTCTCACTGCCTTTGTAACAGAAAGCAATCGTGGAACCTTGTGGTGGCTTTTACAAGTTCTGTTCATCAGTGGCACATACATGCCACACTTTGTTGCCCAGAATAGATTGCTTGGCTCAGTTTGGGGCAGTGGGGGTGGAATGTGGAATCCTCTCCCTGGGAAGCCAGTACACAGTGGAGAGCACTAGTACAATCTACCTTAAGGTCAGTTTTATAATATTCAATGAAGTGAAAACACTTGTAAATGAAGGTTATTCATACTTCTTAAAGCCTTTCCCTGAAACATATTGTGTTTTGCTATTAAAATGGGATTACTTATATAAATTTGGTTGTTAGGGCATTGATCTTAAAAATATATTTCTTTCTTTTTTATTGTGGTAAAATACACATAACAGAAAATGACCATCTCAAGAACCTTTTTTTTTTTTTTTTTTTTTTTTTGTTCTAAGAATTGAACCCAGGGCCCTTGTGCAATGAGAGGCAAGCACTCTACCAACTGTGCTATATCCCCAGCCCCAAGAACCATTTTTAATGGTGGCCTCAAGTACATTCATGTTGTTATGTAACCATCACCACCATAAATCTATAAAACTCTACATTTTACAGAAATTCTGTACCCCTTAGTTAACTTTCTTTTCCCCTTCCCTCCAAACCTTGACAACGACCATTCTGCTTTCTGTGTCTACAAATTTGATTTGTCTACATATTACATATAAATGGAGCCATGTAGTATTTGTCCTTTTATGATTTATTTCACTACGTCTAATGTCCTCAAGGCTTACCCAGATTGTAGCATGTGCCAGAATTTCCTTTCTTTTTAAGGCTGAAGATTATTCCATTATATGGCCACCGCACTTTGTTTATCCATGTACCCTTCAGTGTGCACCTGGGTTGCTTCCATCTTTTGGAAGCTATTGTGATTAATGCTGCTTATTAATATGGTTGTACAGCTATTGGTATTTGAATATTGTATCTTTAAAAAAAGTTTTTTTTAGTTGTAGATGTATACATTTATTTATTTTTATGTGGTGCTGAGGATCAAATCCAGTACGTCACACATGCCAGGCAAGCACTTTGCCAACTGAGCTGCAGGCACATCCCTCCCTGAATATTGTATTTCACATATAGACTTCTTATACTTTTTTATTTTGGTTGATTGCTTCTTATCTATTTTTGTCTTTTAGATTCTTCATCTTATTGTCCATTTTGGTTTTTAAATGCTCTTTTAAGATGATTTTACTGATTTATCTTTCAAAATACTCATCCTATTCTGTCATTGAAGAATAAGTCTACTGAGGGCTGGGGTTGTGGCTCAGTGGTAGAGTGCTTGCCTCACATGTAGGAGGAACTGGGTTTGATTTCTCAGCACGATAAATATATATAAATAAAATAAACATTCATCAACAACTAAAAATAATAATACTAAAAAAGAATAAGTCTGGGGCTGGGGATGTGGCTCAAGCGATAGCACACTTGCCTGGCATGCGTGCGGCCCGGGTTCGATCCTCAGCACCACATACAAACAAAGATGTTGTGTCTGCCGAAAACTAAAAAATAAATATTAAAAAATTCTC